GTCCTGGTTCACTCTTGGTCTAGACCTGGTTTAGTGCCTCTTCTGGACCTGCTTTAGACCCAGATCAGATCCTCTTCTCGCCCTGTCCCAGACCTTGTTTAGACCCGGTCCTGGTTTAGACCCGGTTCTGGGACTGTGCGCGTGCGGGTCCTACAGCTGTGATGAGGACTTCCGGCGTTTTTCTTCTTCTGCAGTGTTTGTGATGTGAGCGGAGAGCGCCCCCCAAGGACACACACGTGACTACAACAACACGGGCCTATTCTAAGAGTCAAGTATTACTCAAGTAAAAGTACTGTTACTTTAGTGACAATATGACTCAAGTAAAAGTACTGTTACTTTAGTGTAAAGAGTAAAAGTATGCTGCTGGAAAAGTACAGTTTCTTTCAAAAGTGAGTGAGGACTATAATCCGCTGTAAATAATAAATAAAAGACCAAGTAAAGTAACAGGTGATGTTCAAACATGTGTAAAGACTCATAAACACGTGAATAATGTGAGAAATTAAAGATAAGTGAAAATGTTTAAACTTTATATTCAAATAAAAATCCCTCGTGCCGCCTGCAGAGCGCGCGCTTCCCGCCTCAGTTCGTGCTCACGCGCAGAAGAAGAGCCGCATAAATACCGCCGCCATTTCGTGCATGCGCCACTTTCTGCGCCGAACTCTGCGGGATGCGCTGATTTTCTTTGACATTTGGCGCAGTTTTTGGTGAAATTTAACGCGTTTTTATTGGGACCAGAGCCGCACGCGCCAGAATCGGGCCCAGCGGCGGAACATGACGTCAGAGCGGCGCGAGGACAAAGGTAAAACCCGCCACAGCATTGTTAGCCTGTTAGCCTGTTAGCTCCCGTCTGCTGCGGTCTGCGCGATTTCTCTGGATTTAAGTCACTAACAAACACATTTATCTGCGCGAATAAGACCAAACCCGAGTCTAGGTCCGCTCACGACAGGTTTGGACGTGAGATTTGAGCTCGAGGACAAAGAAAAAAGCCAAACAAAAGCAGAAGCTCTTTGTCTGTGTCCTCGGAGTCTGCGGATTCATTCATTTAAACAGAAGAACGAAGAAGTCACACCAGATTCAACTTAAATACAGATAAATAAAGACTAATAAAGATGAATACATATGGTTAAAGATGCTGATAAACTCTGCATCTTTAATTCGTCTCGTTTCTTATTTCCAGCTGCGGGTTTGTTCTGAAGCCAAACAAAAGGGAACGACTCCAGTGTAAGATGTGACTTAAACATACAGACAAATCATAGGTTTAAATAATAAACTTAAACAATAAAGACCTGCAAATGCTTTTATGTGTGTGTCAGAAACATTTATAATAAAAAGTAAAGTGTTGTTGTTTTGATCACAAATTAATGTATAATAAGAATAACTGTGATCATCTTTATTTTATTTCTGTGCAGACGGAGAGCTGAACGTGCTGGAGGACATTTTAACAGAAGCTCCGGATCAAGACGACGAACTATTCACCAACACAGAGACCGAGATCACAGACAAGAAGGGTACAAATACTGTAGTACACCTCAAAATACTATTACTACTAGGAGTAACAGACCTATATCGCCAACTAACACTACTAACGCCAGCTAACTCTTCTGTCACAAACCTGCGAGATGTTTGGAAAGGTGCGATGACGACGTCCGGTGTGGTTCTCGACACTGGGCTCCACCGACTGTGATAAAACTGTGGATTCAGCAGTGGCGGTTTTCATAACCTGCCAAAGCTTTCCAGGCTTTCCAAGAACTACAGATGAAAACATAACCTCTCCCTGCTAATTCTGGTACATTTACAGAAATACTGATTAATGTAAACTGTTCCTGTTAAATAAATCAAAATAAATAAAAGGGGGATGGGGCTCCTATCACATCTTCAGTGTCACTTACAGGCAGCTCAAAACTAGAGACCGGCTACAAGTTCTTTGTAGAAAAGTACTTGTTTGGCTTCCAGGGTAAATATTATTTGCCGGCAAATTGAGATGAATGTATTATAAATGATAAAGACAGAGGCTCCCTCTTTTCTACACCACTCGATGGAAAAACTAAAACACAACACTACCCACTCCAGTCCGCCTGGATGAGCAGAAAGAATTGGATGGCATTATAAATTATTATAAATAATTTATTATAAAAATGATGGAAATTGAGGTATGGTCGGAATTGTTGATTATCCAAACACAACAGAACAGTACAATGACATGGACATTAAAAAAACCTGGACATTTTCTAATTTTTCTTACATTTTGTCAGACTTATTTCTGCGAACAGAGCCCAAAGGAAGTTTCATCACGTTTCCAAACGTCTTCCTGGTTTGTGATGTTAGTTTGTCTACATTTTTAATAACACGTGTGCGTAGAGCCTGTTAGGATAATGAGAGTGCGGGGTCTCTGTCCTGAGCCTGCTGCTCTTACATCATGAGGCGTGTTAGAGCATCCCTATTAGGGATGGGCATGATTAATCGATAATTGATCATGAAGAATTTCATCGATTACGTTCATTTTAATCGACAAACTGAATGTAGGTTGCTGTGCGTAGCGTGACCAAACAGGGGTCCGTACATGTAGCGCTCTGCACTCAGAAGGAGCGAGACACAAACATTCGGTCAGTCTGCAGCGTACCGAAGCACAAATGCGTATTTAACGATGATTTGTACACGCTTTCCGTTACGTTCGGGACAAGTGTGAGTCCACGTGCACTGTGTATAAAGCAGGAACATATGTTTCGGTGTCCAGTGGGGAAAAAGCTTTACCAGGTGAGAGTCGCGCAATGTCGATGACGAGTTCCCATCTCCTACCCCCCGTACGCTGTCCTGGTTTTGACAAATGCAAATCTGGTCACACTAACCTGTATTCCACTGAATCATGTCTTTTAATCCGACAGAAATTGAACCACATCAGCGACACGAGCTGTAGTTTTATCTTCACTTAGTTTATGCAAATTAGCGATGCGGTTTTAAGTTTTGTTTCTGTGAGATTTGCGCAAAACTGAATTAAACACATTATAATCTCAAACAGATTGATGTGGCTCTAGAGTCGTTACGGTTTATATGTCGTAAAGTTGAATTTATTTATGCAGATAGTAATAGTAATGATGATCATTTTAATATAAAAACGTTAATGATTAATCGATAATCGATCGTTAATTCTTCCGACGATCGATTAAGAAAATTTCATCGAATGCCCATCCCTAATCCCTATATTATAAATATTTACGCTTGTATTCTGTTGTGCATCTTTTAGATTTTGTTTGAAAGTTGAGAGACCGATTCTCTATTCACACACGTAAAGCTGTGGGACCGGCCATTAGTCTTACGACGACGCACGAACGTAGCAGATCGGACGCATCTTGGGAGTCGCTTTCGGCTTGTTTTAGGTTTTTACCTTGAGAGAACATGCCTAAAAGTCTGAAGAGAACTTGCTCTACTGGTATTGAGGCGATTGTTGACAGCTCTGAGTCTGAGGACAGCGAGTATGACTCGGAGGCAGAGGAGTTGTTTTTGGACGGCAAAGATGCCCTATTAGATCGGTGAGTGCAACACATTTTTGCTTTGAATGAAATAGATCTGTTTTTTGTTTTATTGTAATTATTACATTTTAATATGTAATAATTATGTTTAGTATAATAATTTTTATTGTTTATTTATTGGCAAATAAACTTCCATAGAGTGGACATTCTTAGGACCAAAGACGATGTATTTAATATAATGGTCCTGATGATCATTACAGTGTAATTGCTGTATTATTATACTGGTAAATGCTCTGTAAACCACTTTTATCTAAGAGCATGACTGTTGTTCTGGCTCTAACAGAATGGGCCGTGTTTGGACAACAGGCTTTGTATTTTACAGTACTAGAGTTGTAGTCATTATGTTATAATCTGTCTGTCCCCGTAGTGATTTAATTATTATTTTGGGAAATATCTGAAGCCTTTAAATGTACTAAGAGTGTGTTTATCATGTTTTGTTGATAGGACAATCGATGAAGATTCCAGTGGGGGCAGTGAGTGGGAGTCAGACACTGACTGTGACCTGGACAGTGACTGGGAGCCAGAAGTGAAGCGCAGGACTGTGAAAATCCCAACTTTTAAACCACCCCCCCCTGCTAAGAAGAGCCAAACTGTTAAATCACCCCCCCCTGCTAAGAAGAGCCGAACTGTTAAATCACCCCCCCCTGCTAAGAAGAGCCGAACTGTTAAATCACCCCCCCCTGCTAAGAAGAGCCGAACTGTTAAATCACCCCCCCCTGCTAAGAAGAGCCGAACTGTTAAACCACTCACCCCTAAGAAGAGCCGAACTGTTGAACCACCCCCCGCTGCTGATGAGGAGATCCAAACTGTTGAACCATTGTCCGCTGCTAAGGAGAGCCAAACTGTTACACCACCCCCCCTTGATGAGGAGAGCCAAACTGTTACACCACCCCCCTTGATGAGGAGAGCCAAAGTGTTACACCACCCCCCCTTGATGAGGAGAGCCAAACTGTTGAACCACCCCCTGCTGCTGCTTCCCTGTCTCCAAGAAAACAATCAAAAAAGGCAAGAGGTACTAAAAGGCACAGAGCAGGAGCAGCAGGGGCCCCGCCCTCACCTGATGCACACGGGGAAAGGTGGAATACACCTGATGAAGTGGACATTGTGCCTGTGCCGCTGCCCTTCCAACCCGCCAGAGAGCCCGGACCTCAGCGCAGGAGCAGATGTGCTGCTACGCCACTGGACTTTTTTAGACTGTATTTCTCTGACTTGGTTATGTCCACGCTCTTGGCAAATATAAATGACCACGGGGCTGAACAAAACCAAAACTGGACGGATGTGACTCTTCCTGACCTCTATGCTTTTTTGGCCATCGTCATATACATGGGAATAGTGAAGCTTCCAGAACTGGTGGACTACTGGCGAAAGCACAATATTTTTAACTTAATTTTTCCAGCTTCTGTCATTTCAAGGAATAAGTTTCAGCTCATTTGCAGGTCATTACACCTCTGCCCTTTGAAGGAAGACATACAAAATCAAGCGGCAAAGGGCACGCCAGCCTATGACCGCCTGAAGAAAATAAAGCCCCTGTACCAGCAGATTGTTGAGGCCTGCAAAGAGCATTACCATCCAGGCCAAAACATATCAATTGACGAGCGGATGGTTGCATCAAAAGCAAGGCATGGACTCAAACAATACATAAAAAACAAACCAACCAAGTGGGGCTACAAACTGTTTGTGCTTGCGGACTCAGCGACAGGGTACACCTGGAATTTTTTTGTTGATGACGGCAAGGCCTCCAGAAGTGGCAAAGGGCTTAGCTACGACTCCGTCATGTCTCTCATGGACTTGGAAAAACTGGGAACGGGATATCACCTGTATGTGGATAACTTTTACACAAGCCCTGATCTCTTCAAGGACTTGGCAGCCCAAAACATTGGAGCTTGTGGCACCATGCGAGTCAACAGAGTGGGATATCCTAAAACCACAACAAATGACTTTGGCAGGAAAGACCCTCGGGGGAGTGTGAGATGGATCAGACACAAAGAGCTCCTCTTCATCAAGTGGAAGGACACACGAGAGGTCGTCATGTGTTCCACCATCCACACTGTTATGAGTGGAGACACAGCCCCTCGAAGGATGAAAGAGCAGGGGATGTGGAAGGTGGTGGATGTCCCGCTTCCTGCTCCTGTGAAAGCCTACAACAGCCACATGGGGGGTGTTGACCTCTCAGATGCTCTCATTGGGTACTACTCTGTTCTACATAAGACAAAGAAGTGGTATCGTACCTTTTTTTACCACTTCCTGGACATTGCGATTATAAATGCTTTTATCATGTACCGTTCCCAACAGCAGCAGGACACTAGGTACACACAGAGGGACTTCAGAGAGGCTCTATTACAGGAGCTGTCAGACATCGGAAGTCCTTCCACTTCTACCAACCATCCACCACCTCCTGGCCCAGGAACAACCACACACAAACTCATTTATTTCAGTGAGGGCCAAAATGTGCCTAAAGAGCAGGCGGCCTCTGCTGGCAGAAGACTGTGCAAACTCTGCCACAAAAAGACCCCGGTGGGCTGTGAGTCCTGTGATGTGCCTCTCTGTTTTGTTCCCACTAGAAACTGTTACCGCGAGTGGCACGATCAGATGGAACTGTAACATCACCTTCCTGTACCTTGTAAATAGTTCTACCTTTGTCTTTTGTGTCATTTAGCAGTTTTGATCATTTTTTTAATATTCCTGTTTTATTCTGCGAAACAAATAAAAATGCTTGTAATTCCATTGGACCTGTTGCATAGTTTATTTCTTATGCCTAAATAACAAAGCGTTTTATGGAAATGCATGTTTATATTGCTAAAATATGGATATCTGAAAAAGTGAAATAAGATGGGAAGGGAATTTGTAGCCACCAAAATATCAGAATGAGGTTTTCATGGTCAGAGCAGAGCTAAAATGCATCTGACAGTTTGGAACATTTGGCACACATTTGGCTGAATTCTCTTTTTGTTAACAAAAAGACTCTCAACATCAAAACCTTTAGTCCTACACATCTGAAATCCTGCACAGGTGTTGCCAACAACTAGAACAGCGAGTGTAGTGAGTAACAAATGCCTAGCCTGAAGTATGTCCAAGCTAGGGCCTTTAATGTTTTTCCCGAGGCAAAATACTGAATGAATGAATGACTGATGGAATGAATGACTGATGGAATGAATGACTGATGGAATGAATGACTAATGAATGAATGACTAATGAATGAATGACTGAATGAATGAATGAATGACTGATGACTTTCTGCTCTGTAGGTTCTCCAGCGCTCATTCATCTGCATGTGTACAGAAACTAGAAGGCCTCATGTTTAAAGTGACGCTTCACCCCGGCGTGTGGGTTCTAGTGCACTAGTGAATCGTACTAGTGAATCGTACTAGTGAATCGTACTAGTGAATCGTACTAGTGAATCGTACTAGTGAATCGTACTAGTGAATCGCACTAGTGAATCGCACTAGTGAATCGCACTAGTGAATCGTACTAGTGAATCGTACTAGTGAATCGTACTAGTGAATCGCACTAGTGAATCGCACTAGTGAATCGTACTAGTGAATCGTGCACACACCAGAACGACTTGGAGGAATCAGGTTAAATGTTTAATTTCATATTTTTCAGGAGTGAAGCGAAAGTCTGACCGCTCTGACCCGGGGGACGTGAAGCGGCCACGCTCAGGACACGCCCCCTCGTCTTCCTCGTCCAATAAGAGAGCGCCATCCTCGAAGAAGACTGGGTCTCCCAGAGCGGGCCACGCCCCCAGTTATCGCCATGACGACTACGACGACCGCAAACTACGGCGACGCAGGGGGCGGAGCCTAGAACAGGTAATGGATCCCCGGCGCCATGTGGGAGGGGCTCAGGGTGTCCACTTCGTACATACCATACGTTAAGCTGAATAATAAAAAACGTTCATACTTCGTACATAAACCTCTGTGTCGTCACAAGAACACGCTCGCTGCTTTAAACCTCATTACTGTTTTTTTCCTTTGTAGAAAATGCGCCGTGAAGAGCGTCGGCCAAGCCCCTCCCCTCGCCACAATGACCACCAATCAGATGAAGAGTACGGCTCTGAGGCGGGAAGCTCCTCGGCCAATGGAGAAGAAGAGGAGGAGCCTGAGGAGGAAGAGGAGGAGGAGGAGGAAGAGGAAGAGGAGGCGAGTCTTACATTGAACAAAACTTAAATTTGGTCCTTTTTCAAATGTGTCGTGGAGTTTAGTTTGCCTGATCCTGGTCTGGTTCTGGGTCTAAACCTGGATGGACTTTGTTCCAGGAGGAGGTGATGGAGGAAGAGGAGGAGGAAGAGGAGGGAGAGAAAGAAGAAGACGACGACGAAGACGATTACGACCGAAGAGACACAAACTACGACACGCGAAGTGAAGCCGGAGACTCGCACAGCTCTGTGAGCTTCAGCGAGTCCGAGTCCGGTACGGATCATAACCGGTCTACAGGGATCATAACCGGTCTTAAAAGGGTCTTCATGGTTTTGTTCTTATGTTGCAGGTTCAGAGAAGAGGCGGGATAAGTTGTCTTCGTCTGTGCGAGCAGTGAGAGAGAGTAAGAACTAGTTTATTACGTTTCTATTACAAACTGCAGAAGTGAAACTCTTCGTCTGTTTCAGTTTGAATCTAAAGCGAGTGCTTTTCTCCATAGATCCGACCAGTAAGCTGCGCTACATTCTGAGAGACGCACGATTCTTCCTCATCAAGAGCAACAACCACGAGAACGTGTCCCTCGCCAAAGCCAAGGTACCTCTCCCTCAAGTTAGTCCTGCTTCAGTTCTGCTTCAGCTCTGTTTGTCTTGTTTCAGTATTGTTTCAGCCCTGTTTCAGTCCCGCTTTGGTCCTGTTTCAGTCCAGCTTTGGCCCTGTTTCGGTCCCGCTTTGGCCCTGTTTCGGTCCCGCTTTGGCCCTGTTTCGGTCCCGCTTTGTCCCTGTTTCGGTCCCGCTTTGTCCCTGTTTCGGTCCCGCTTTGGCTTTGTCCCGCCCCTGTTTCGGTCCCGCTTTGTCCCTGTTTCGGTCCCGCTTTGTCCCTGTTTCGGTCCCGCTTTGTCCCTGTTTCGGTCCCGCTTTGTCCCTGTTTCGGTCCCGCTTTGGCCCTGTTTCGGTCCCGCTTTGGCCCTGTTTCGGTCCCGCTTTGGCCCTGTTTCGGTCCCGCTTTGGCCCTGTTTCGGTCCCGCTTTGGCCCTGTTTCGGTCCCGCTTTGTCCCTGTTTCGGTCCCGCTTTGTCCCTGTTTCGGTCCCGCTTCGGCCCTGTTTCGGTCCCGCTTCGGCCCTGTTTCAGCCCCGTTTCGGCCCTGTTTCAGCCCTGTTTTGGCCCTGTTTCAGCCCCGTTTCAGCCCTGTTTCGGCCCTGTTTCAGCTCTGTTTCTCCTGCAGGGCGTGTGGTCCACTCTTCCGGTGAATGAGAAGAAGTTAAATGCAGCGTTTCGTTCGGCGCGAAGTGTCATCCTGGTGTTTTCTGTGAGAGAGAGCGGAATGTTCCAAGGTACCTCCTACCTCCTACACCCTGTCTCCTGACTCCTACCTCCTACAACCTGACTCCTGACTCCTACCTCCTACACCCTACACCCTGACTCCTGACTCCTGACTCCTACCTCCTACGCCCTGTCTCCTGACTCCTACCTCCTATGTCCTTGGGATGCACCAATACTGATTCTGGTGTCAAATATCTATGCCGATACTGAAAAATTAGCTGGATGTGGTATCGGTTCCGTGGTATCGGTTCATATCCTGGTGGGGCCTTTAGTCGGCAGTAATAAGTTCATGTTTGAACTTTTCCTCAGTCGTGATGTAAAGGAGAAATAACAGTTACAGAACACTATTGGATCCCCGGTTTAGTCCCGGTTTAGTTCCGGTTTAGTCCCGGTTTAGTCCTAGATCTCTGTAGAAAGTCAACTGTTTTAAGGAAACAAGGGCCATTTTCTGTTCCTAGATTGGTGTCTATTAATATCGGCATCGGCAGATACTTAACATCAAAATATCGATATGGAACAGAAAAGGCTGGATCAGTGCATCCCCAACACCTACATCCTCCTCCTACTCTTTCTCTTGGACTTGGTTTGGTCCAGATTAGCTCTGGGTTTGGTCTAAACCTCGGTCTAAACCTCGGTCTTAACCTCAGACTTGGTCTTTTTTCCAGGTTTTGCTCGTTTAGCGTCCGAGTCTCAACACGGCGGCTCTCCCATTCACTGGGTGCTTCCTGCTGGAATGAACGCCAAGATGTTGGGAGGAGTCTTCAAGATCGACTGGCTCTGCAGGTGAGGTCCTGGTCAGGTCCTGGTCCAGTGCTTGTCCGGTCTTGGTCCGGTCCTGGTCCAGTGCTGGACCGGTCCTGATTGGAGGTCAGATGAGGAGATGAGGTCCTGATCCGGGTCCCAGTCAACTTTAATGTGTGTAATTAATCTGAACGAGTCATTCAAAAATGAAGACTGATGAATCACATTGTCTGTTTTAAGTCACACACGAGTCGGGCTGGAGGCTTTAATCATCATGATTAATCAGATTTCAAAATGTGATTCATCTGATTTATTTTTCAATATGTGTATGTATATAATATGTCTTTGACTCAAAAGAGCTGCTCCCTCACCTTTATATGTTATAAATCACCTTTTATATGTTATAAATCACCTTTTATATGTTATAAATCACCTTTTATATGTTATAAATCACCTTTATAGTGTCTATATTCTGACATTTGTTTGATATTTGTTTTTATCTTCACTGTTGTGAATGTTTCAGGAGGGAGCTGCCCTTCACCAAAACCGCTCACCTGTCCAACCCCTGGAACGAGCACAAGCCTGTGAAGATCGGACGAGACGGACAGGTCAGGACCCGGTTTAGACCCGGTTTAGACCCGGTTCAGACCTGTTCTGACCCGTACTGACCCGTTCCTCCCTCTGTAGGAGATCCAGCCGGACACCGGGGGTCAACTGTGCGCACTCTTCCCGTTGGACGACAGTGTGGATGTGCACAGCGTCGCTCGGAGGATTCGTCACAAACGTCGCACGCCGTCAGAGCCCCGTCCCCGAGGACGCCCACCAATCAGAGAGCCGGGAAGGTTAGCCAATCAGCTGCTCCCGCCACAGTGCCCCCTGCTGCGGACTTTGGACTCTTTCCCTAAAGGATGATTTCAGTGTCTGAGGATCACCCAGGCTCTCCTGAGTTCTCCTGGGTTCTCCTGAGTTCTCCTGGGTTCTCCTGGGTTTTCCTGGGCTCACCCGGGCTCACCCGGGTTCTCCTGGGCTGAGTCAGGCCAGTGTGAGCTGCTCCATATGGGGCTGTGGAGCTGTGCCTGATCCGCGTCACTCCAGATCAGTGTAAATGCAGTGGAGACGGATAGTGCAGGGTTTGTGCAGCTGCTCTGAGGTGAGGGTCACGTGACCTTCTCCTGTTCTGGATGCCATTTTGAGGACCATTGAAAAGAACACCTGATGTCTTGCTGTAAACGTGTTAAAGTGCCTGTGGGTCAGAGGTCAGGGGTAGGAGAGGGGGAGGTGGTCTGTACCCGGGGTTTACACACAGCTGCAGTAGTGTTAGGGGAGCGTTAGCATAGTGACCTGATCCGTACCCGGTGTGCTCAGTTAGCAGCAGTAGTGTGACGGATCAGGCAGGGCAGGGCTGGGTTTGCTCATTAAACTTGTGAAGTTTTCTCTTACAGAAACTAAAGGTGAAGTTTGGGCGTTTAAATGGACTTCCCTTTGAGCCCTTTCACAGTAAAAGCTCAGGACTGTCTAAGATACACCAGGACTTTCACAGTAAAACAGCGTGGATTTATTGGCCTCACGTGGACTCCTGTAGTCCTGGTTTGGGACTGGGTCAGGACTTGTGCAGTCCTGGTTTGGGACTGGGTCAGGACTGGACTGGATCTCAGGGTCAGGTTTGAACTGTTAAGCCCCGCCCCTCGGTTCTCACGGGCCAATCAGGACTGAGTTGGGGGGTGTGGGCGGGGCTACCGCACCTTCACCTGAGTGTCAGCCAATCAGAGCAGAGCAGAGCTGCTCAGAGCCAATGAAAAGGCAGTAATAGACTGAACTGTTTTTATAAAGGCTTTTTCCTCAAAGCGGTATGTCCACACAAAACGCACACATTTACACACAAAACACACACATTTACACACAAAACGCACACATTTACACACAAAACGCACACATTTGCACACATTTACACACAGAACGCACACATTTACACACAAACGCACACATTTACACACAAAAACGCACACATTTACACACAGAACGCACACATTTACACACAAAGAACACACACACATTTACACACAGAACACACACATTTACACACAGAATGCACACATTTACACACAGAATGCACACATTTACACACAAAACACACACATTTACACACAGAATGCACACATTTACACACAAAACGCACACATTTACACACAGGACGCACACATTTACACACATTTACACACAGAAACACACACACATTTACACACAGAACGCACACATTTACACACAGAACGCACACATTTACACACACGCACACATTTACACACAGAATGCACACATTTACACACAAACGCACACACATTTACACACAGAACGCACACATTTACACACAGCACACATTTACACACAGAACGCACACATTTACACACAGGACGCACACATTTACACACAGAACACACACACACTTACACACAAAACGCACACATTTACACACAGAACGCACACATCTACACACACAACGCACACATCTACACACACAACGCACACATTTACACACATCTACACACAGGACGCACACATCTACACACAGGACGCACACATTTACACACAATACGCACACATTTACACACATTTACACACAGGACGCACACATTTACACACAGAACGCACACATCTACACACACAACGCACACATTTACACACATCTACACACAGAACGCACACATCTACACACAGGACGCACACATTTACACACAGGACGCACACATTTACACACAGAAACGCACACATTTACACACACACATTTTACACACAGAACGCACACATTTACACACAGAACGCACACATTTACACACAACGCACACACATTTACACACAAAACGCACACATTTACACACAGAACGCACACATTTACACACAGAACGCACACATTTACACACATCTACACACAACGCACACATCTACACACAGAACGCACACATCTACACACAGGACGCACACATTTACACACACGACGCACACATTTACACACACGACGCACACATTTACACACAATACGCACACATTTACACACAGGACGCACACACATTTACACACAAACGCACACATTTACACACAAAACGCACACATTTACACACAGAACGCACACATTTACACACAAAACGCACACATTTACACACAGAACGCACACATTTACACACATCTACACACAACGCACACATTTACACACAGGACGCACACATCTACACACAGGACGCACACATTTACACACAGGACGCACACATTTACACACAATACGCACACATTTACACACAGGACGCACACATTTACACACATCTACACACACAACGCACACATTTACACACAGAACGCACACATTTACACACAGAACGCACACATTTACACAGAACGCACACATTTACACACAGAACACACACACATTTACACACAAAACGCACACATTTACACACAGAACACACATTTACACACACGCACACATTTACACACACACACATTTACACACAGAACGCACACATTTACACACAACGCACACATTTACACACAGCGCACACATTTACACACAGGACGCACACATTTACACACAAACGCACACATTTACACACAAAACGCACACATTTGCACACATTTACACACAGAACGCACACATTTACACACAGAACGCACACATTTACACACAGAACACACACATTTACACACAGAACACACACACATTTACACAGAACACACACATTTACACACAGAACGCACACATTTACACACAGGACGCACACAATTTACACACAGGACGCACACATTTACACACATCTACACACACAACGCACACATTTACACACAGAACGCACACATTTACACACAGAACGCACACATTTACACACAGAATGCACACATTTTCACACAGAACGCACACATTTACACAGAACACACACACATTTACACACAAAACGCACACATTTACACACAGAACACACACATTTACACACAGAACGCACACATCTACACACAGGACGCACACATTTACACACAGAACGCACACATTTTACACACAGCACGCACACATTTACACACAGGACGCACACATTTACACACAGGACGCACACATTTACACACAGGACGCACACATTTACACACAGGACGCACACATTTACACACAGGACGCACACATTTACACACAGAACGCACACATTTACACACAGAACACACACATTTACACACAGAACACACACACATTTACACAGAACACACACACATTTACACACAGAACGCACACATTTACACACAGGACGCACACATTTACACACAGGACGCACACACATTACACACAACACACACAGCACGCACACATTTACACACATCTACACACAGGACGCACACATTTACACACAATACGCACACATTTACACACAATACGCACACATTTACACACATCTACACACAGGACGCACACATTTACACACAGGACGCACACATTTACACACAGGACACACACATTTACACACAATACTCACACATTTACACACAGAACGCACACATTTACACACAGGACGCACACATTTACACACAGGACGCACACTTTACACACAGAACGCACACATTTACACACAACTCACACATTTACACACAGAACGCACACATTTACACACAATACGCACACATTTACACACATCTACACACAGAAAGCACAGATTTACACACAGAACGCACACATTTACACACAGAACGCACACATTTACACACAGAACGCACACATTTACACACAATATGCACACATTTACACACATCTACACACAGGACGCACACATTTACACACAGCGCACACATTTACACACAGAACGCACACATTTACACACAGAACGCACACATTTACACACAGAACGCACACATTTACACACAGAACGCACACATTTACACACAGAACGCACACATTTACACACAATGCGCACACATTTACACACAGAACGCACACATTTACACACAATACGCACACATTTACACACAGAACGCACACATTTACACACAGGACGCACACATTTACACACAGAACGCACACATTTACACACATCTACACACAGAACGCACACATGTGCAGAGGAACTACATTCTGTTTAAATGTGACTCATATTCAGATATTATTCGGACCTGACTCGGACCTGACTCAGAGCACTGGTATCACTGAGTCTGAAGGCACAAAAACACGTTTATTTATATTATATATTTTATCATTAATACAGATGCAGGGACCAGAGTCACATCTGCACACAACTACATCATACACATTATATACACTGTGTATACACATTATATACATTATATACACTATTTACGTTATATACTTTATATAGATTATTTACACACGTGTTCAGAATTGTTGGTTCCCTCTGGTAATGGGGGGAAAAAAAATCAACAATGGTCACAGAAATAACTTGAAATTAAGAGAAGCAATAATACATTTTTTAAAATCCTGAAAAATAACCAATAAAAATCAAACACTGTTTTTGAATTGTTGTTCAACAGAATTATTTAAATAAGCAAAATAATGAAACTGGCCTGGACAAAAATGATGGTTCCTTAACTTTATAGTTTGTTGCACAAGTTTTGAGGCAAACTCTGCAAACAAACGATTTGTGTAACTGTCAGTGACACTTCTGCTCTGGACAACTGGGATTTTGATCCATTTCTTATGAGTAAATTGTTCTAGTCTCAGGTTTGAAGGTTCCTTCTCCGGACGCATGTTTCAGTTCCATTCACAGATGATCAATAGAACTGAGATCTGGACTCACAGAAGAACACTCCAGAACAGTCCAATGTTCTGTTCTTAGCCATTCTTGGGTGTTTTTCTCTGTGTGTTTTTCTCTGTGTGTTTTGGGTCATTTTCCTGTTGAAGACCCATGACCTACGACTGAGACCAAGCTCTCTGACACTAGGCGACACATTTTGTTCCAAAACACTTTGATGGTTTTGAGATTCTGTTGTATTTTGCACAGATTCAAGACGCCCTGAGCCTGACGCAGCAGAACAGCCCCAGAACCAAACCAAACCTCCTCCGTGCTTCACAGTAGAGACAGTGTTCATTTCTTGGTCTGCTTTATGTTTGTGTCTGTGAACATAGAGCTGATGTGTCTTGCCAAAGAGCTCCAGTTTTGTCTCATCTGTCCAAAGAACATTCTCCCAGAAGCTTTGTGCCTTGTCAATCTGCACTGTGACAAATTCCAGTCTCACTTTTTGATGATTTACTTTCAGCAGTGGTGTCCTCACATGAAGTCACTTTGGCTCAAACACTGACGGATGGTGTGATCGGACACTGATGTTCCTCACCCTTCAACTTCACACTTCATTTGTTTGGAGGTTGTTCTGAGCTCCCAAAACCTACATTTAACACGTCACTATTGTCCAAGTATTTACAGTTTTTTACTAGGGGCAGCATCATTTTTCTTTAGTTTTTTTTTATTTTTTTATAATTGAACAACAATTCAAAAACGGTGTCTTATTTTCATTGGTTATTTTTCAGTATTCTTTTTAATTTATTGCTTTTCTTAGTTTGAAGTTATTTCTGTGATTGTTGATTTCTCTTTTTTTACCACTGGAGTATAGATTATATAGATGGATATATACTGGTGTATTTCAGTAGTCGCATATGTGAAGTAAACACAGGTCTCATCAATCTCAACCGCATTTCTATTCAAATATAATTATGAAGAACAAGGCCTGGTCTGCGGGGGGCCCCTCTGGTCTGCGGGGGCCCCTCTGGTCTGCGGGGGCCCCTCTGGTCTGCGGGGGCCCCTCTGGTCTGCGGGGGCCCTCTGGTCTGCGGGGCCCTCTGGTCTGCGGGGGGCCCTCTGGTCTGCGGGGGGCCCTCTGGTCTGCGGGGGCCATCACAAGATAGCAGTAGGTCAACAGACATGCAGACATGTGCAGACATGTATAAAGTGCAGACATGTCAGACATGTATAAAGTATGCAGACATGTATAGATGTACAGACATGTATAAACAGACATGTATAAAGTGCAGACATGTATAAAGTGCAGACATGTATAAAGTGTATAGATGTAGAAAGTGCAGACATGTAGACATGTATAGCAGACAGTGTATAGATGTATAGATGTATAGATGTAGTGTATAAAGTGTATAGATAGAAAGTGCAGACATGTGTATAGATGTATAGACAGACATGTGTATAGATGTATAAAGTGCAGACATTTATAAAGTGTATAGATGTATAAAGTGCAGACATTTATAAAGTGTACAGACATTTATAAAGTGTATAGATGTATAAAGTGCAGACAATGTAGACAGATAAGTGCAGACATCAGACATTTATCAGACATGTGTAGTTTATTCAGACATGTGTATAGATGTTCAGAGACAGAGCAGACACATGTCGTCCTCCCAAAAGTCCCACACTGCAGCTTTAAGACGGGGACATGGTGCTGATAAAGGGGTTTTTGGGCAGTACTTCATCCTCGTGTGTATTTGTACTTTAGTAATATGTCACTGCAGTACTGTGCCTGTATACGCTAAGAAGTTGTATTTACATTTGTGTAGTACTTTTGCAGTATTTGTGTAGTACTTTTGCAGTATTTGACAGTACTGTGTTCCAGGCGTCGCCCCGAAGAGTACGACCTTCACGGAAGAAAGAGACCACGCTCAGACTGCGGACCAGACTACTCCAGAACAGGTCTAAACCAGAACTAAACCAGAACTGAACCAGGACTAAACTGGGACTAAGCCGGGACTAAACCAGGACTGAACTGGGACTGAAGCAAGTATAAACAGGACTAACCTGAGACTAGGTCTGGTCCGGTCTGGAGTCTGACTCTGTTGTTGTGTCGTAGGTTTTATCCAGGACCTGAGGAGCCAGCCCGTGGACAGGTGAGACACTCAGGGGTCAGAGGTCAGAGGAGGAGGAGGGGGGTCAGGGTCAGTGAAGGTCGTTGAGCTGTGACCTCTGACCTCTAAGGGTTAAAGGTTAAAGATGTGACATTTGTGTTTTTCAGGAGGTTTTCTGGAGTTCGACGCGACGTCTTCATGAACGGGGTCAGTGTGTGTATCTGTGTGTGTTGTGTGTGTGTGTGTGTGTGTGTGTGTGTGTGTGTGTGTGTGTGTTGTGTGTGTGTGTGTGTGTGTGTGTGTGTGTGTGTGTGTGTGTGTGTGTGTGTGTGTGTGTGTGTGTGTGTGTGTGTGTGTGTGTGTGTGTGTGTGTGTGTGTGTGTGTGTGTGTGTGTGTGTGTGTGTGTGTGTGTGTGTGTGTGTGTGTGTGTGTGTGTGTGTGTGTGTGTGTGTGTGTGTGTGTGTGTGTGTGTGTGTGTGTGTGTGTGTGTGTGTGTGTGTGTGTGTGTGTGTGTGTGTGTGTGTGTGTGTGTGTGTGTGTGTGTGTGTTGTGTGTGTGTGTGTGTGTGTGTGTGTTTGTGTCGTGTGTTGTGTGTGTGTGTGTGTGTGTGTGTGTGTGTGTGTGTGTGTGTGTGTGTGTGTGTGTTGTGTGTGTGTGTGTGTGTGTGTGTGTGTGTGTGTGTGTGTGTGTGTGTGTGTGTGTGTGTGTGTGTGTGTGTGTGTGTGTGTGTGTGTGTGTGTGTGTGTTGTGTGTGTGTGTGTGTGTGTGTGTGTGTGTGTGTGTGTGTGTGTGTGTGTGTGTGTGTGTGTGTGTGTGTGTGTGTGTGTGTGTGTGTGTGTGTGTGTGTGTGAGTGTGTGTGTGTGTGTGTGTGTGTGTGTGTGTGTGTGTGTGTGTGTGTGTGTGTGTGTGTGTGTGTGTGTGTGTGTGTGTGTGTGTGTGTGTGTGTGTGTGTGTGTGTGTGTGTGTGTGTGTGTGTGTGTTAGACTCAGACTCAGTTGTGTGTTTGTTTCTCTTCAGTCTTATGGAGATTACATGAGGGATTATCACCACAGTGTTGGACCTCCTGCTCCTTGGCAAACTCTGGTCAGTCTCCTCCTCTTCCTCCTCTTCCTCCTCATCCTCCTCCTCTTCCTTTTCCTTCTCTTCCTCCTCTTCATCCTCCTCCTCTTCCTTTTCCTTCTCTTCCTCCTCTTCCTCCTCCTCTTCTTTTTAATTTCTTCTCCTCTTCCTTGTCCTCTCTCATCTAACCCTCTGTTCTTCTTGTTCTTCTTATTCTTCTTGTTCTTCTTGTTGTTCTTGTACCCAGGCGTACCCGGGCGTGGACCCGCCCCCCCCTCAGTATTACCACCACAGCCACGCCCCGCCCCCCCTCACCAGGCATACCACCACCCGCCCCTGCCCCCCCACGAGCCGCACCGCTTCAGGGACAAGAACCGGAGCACGGGCCACCGGGGATACGCCTCCAGCCCGGTCAGGACCTGGACCTGGACCTGGACTGAGGACTGAAGACTGAGGACCTGGACTGAGGACTGAGGACCGAGGACTTGGACCAGGACTGAGGACCTGGACTGAGGACCGAGGACTTGGACTTGGACCAGGACTGAGGACTAGAGATGTGCAGATTGCCGCAGCTAAACACTGTCGGGCGGATGACATGACGAAAAATAATATTTTAATCAAATTCGGGCGGGTGGCGGTTTAACTACTAATAAATACATAAATGAAATATATATATATATATATACGGGCGTCTACAGGTGTCTGTGTTTTCCTGTTTGTGAAATGAACGGTTGAAGGCGACTGGAGCGAGTCAGGAAACACTTGTCCTGTTGTTTAGTGCATCACCACAAATAAAACCACCATCCTTGTACAATGAACTGTGGCGTTTATTGAGCCGCACACTCACCATGAGGCTCTGAACAATTGAACCTGCAGGGACGAGCGGCTGCTGCACCTTTGGCCCTGGATATGAAGACGCTTCTCTCCTGTGTCTCTGACCACGGTCACGGCTCTGACTCTGAAATAACATCAGGCAATGTTCAAGAAGGTTCAAAAACAGCCTCGGCGGAAAACGTTGCAAATGAATCCGCTGTGCAAGAAAACCAGGCGAGGCAGGCGAGGGGTCGTTACCAACAATTAGAATGTGAACATGCACATGGAGCCAGTTTTGGAATAAATGAGCCATAGTTTGCATTTTTATCGAGGCTCCTTAGTTTGTTTGCTGTATGATTTGTTCTAAAATCTGGATCTCTAAAAATCTAAAAACACTGGGCGGACGGCGGCGAGTGCGGTTTGGAAAATTGGTCCAAACGTCGGGTGCAAATGGAGAGCGGGCGGAGGATGAGTTTTAATGAAGAAATAACCCGTCCGCACATCTGGACTGACGACTGACGACTGACCCTGGATCAGACCAGATCGTGTTTATATAAATGTTCAGATCTAACGCTGTCGCCGCCGCTGCCGTCCAAACAGGAAGTGCTCCAAGACACTCCTGGGCTCCTTCTGGCTCCAGACTTTTTCCACTTGGTGCTTCTCTGTGGGTTTGTGACAAAATGTGTAAACCACAAATAAATCCACAAGTGTCGAGGGAAGAAGACGAGTCCGTTTGATGATGTGGAGATTTGTGACGTTTACATGGTTCTCGTCTCCACGAGCAGAACACGAGTTCAGTCTGTTGTGACTTTCCTCTTTCTTCTCTTGATCGTTGTGGAGAAAACATTGGTCTGGACTGGACCTGGACTGGACCTGGACTGGACCTGGACTGGACCTGGACTAGACCATGTTCAAATCTGGATTTGTGACAAAATGTTGAAGTCCAAACCCCGGGGTCATGTAGAGCGGGGTCAAAGGTCAGAGAGAGGAGCCAGGCTTTTTACACACAAACTGAACTGGAGCCAGAGTTCATGGAGCCCAATCACGCCCATGAACACTTCCTGTTTGGAACAAGGCTGCTAAAGGGTTTAAGATGTCGTATTTATAAACGGGCTGCACGTCCGTCTGGGACGCGTGTCCATGTGGGACGCGTGTCCATGTGGGACGCGTGTCCATGTGGGACGCGTGTCCTTGGGGGACGCGTGTCCATGTGGGACGCGTGTCCATGTGGGACGCGTGTCCTTGGGGGACGCGTGTCCTTGGGACGCGTGTGGGACGCGTGTCCATGTGGACGCGTGGTCCGCGTGTCATGTGGGACGCGTGTCCATTTGGACGCTTGTCCTTGGGGGACGCGTGTCCTTGGGGGACGCGTGTCCGTCTGGGACGCGTGTCCATGTGGGACGCGTGTCCTGTCTGGGACGCGTGTCCGTCTGGGACGCGTGTCCGTCTGGGGGACGCGTGTCCATGTGGGACGCGTGTCCGTCTGGGACGCGTGTCCGTCTGGGACGCGTGTCCTTGGGGGACGCGTGTCCATGTGGGACGCGTGTCCGTGTGGGACGCGTGTCCGTCTGGGACGCGTGTCCTTGTGGGACGCGTGTCCGTCTGGGACGCGTGTCCGTCTGGGACGCGTGTCCTTGTGGGACGCGTGTCCTTGGGGACGCGTGTCCTTGTGGGACGCGTGTCCATGTGGGACGCGTGTCCACGCGTGTCCGTCTTGGGACGCATGTCCGTTGTGGGACGCGTGTCCTTGTGGGACGCTGTGTGGGATGGGGACACGTGTCCTTGGGGGACGCGTGTCCTTGTCCTTGGGGGACGCGTGTCCTTGTCCTTGGGGACGCGTGTCCTTGTGGTGAAACGTTCTGAGTTTCTGTTTTGTGTTTTCAGCACGATTATGACATGAGAGTGGACGACTTCCTGCGGCGAACTCAGGCCGTGGTCAGCAGCCGGCGAGAGAGAGACCGACAGAGAGAGAGACCGAGAGGAGAGACGAGGAGAGAGAGGGAGAGGGGGAGAGACAGAGGAGGAGAGAGGGACAGAGAGAAGGAGAGGGGGAGGTACAGACGCTGAGGAGGACAGAGGGACAGTGAGTCTCATCTGATGCTCTTCTCTTGTGTTTTGGTGTTTTCATCTTTTGTCGCGCCTCAAACTCTGCACCTGTCGGGGCAGGGGCAGGTGCAGCTCCTGTCGTCTGTGCTTCTCTCTCTTCTATTCCTCTTTTTTTTTTTTTTTTTTCTGTATCTGTAGATGTGAAAGTGCGTCTCCTCAAGCTTCAGACACTTTTTGTTTGTTTTGACCCCAGTGACCAGGAAACTCTTAAAGTCTTGAACCATTTGGTTTGTGCAGAGACAGAGCCCCGTGTGTGTGTGTGTGTGTGTGTGTGTGTGTGTGTGTGTGTGTGTGTGTGTGTGTCTGCGTGTGTGTGTGTGTGTCTGTGTGTGTGTGTGTGTGTGTGTCTGTGTGTGTGTGTGTCTGTGTGTGTGCGTGCGTGTGTGTGCGTGTGTGTGTGTGTGTGTGTGTGAGGTCTGCAGTTACAGGCAGCACCTTTTATTTCCCATGAGCCTCTGTTTTAGACACCTGTCACTTCCTGTTTGTGTTGTTGTACTTCCTGTTACCTGTAAAAGGGGCGGGACTTTTGTTTTTGTATCAAATAAAAATTTGACAAAAATGTGTTTGGATTATTGATGACATCACAGACACTGATGACATCACACTGATGACATCACACAGGTGACATCACGCAGGTGACATCACGCAGGTGACATCACACAGGTGACATCACACAGGCCTTGTCTCAGATTCTGTGTGATAAGAACAAAGTGGCTCATGTGTAAAGAGCCTCAAACTGTTTCCTCACTTTGTTCTGTTGATTCTTTGTATCATTTTCTGCCTCACTTTAAGTTTGTCTAGTTTGTTTCTGTTTCGACAGAACCCTGGTCTGGACTCAGTCCTGGATCTGCTTCAGCCGTTTGTCTCGCTCTTCTGTTCCCATCATAAAAAAACTAAAACATCACACAGGATTTTTCACACAAAACTTTTCTAGAAAATACTCGAGTTTGAGGAGTGGAGGGAAGTGTTTTGCCCAGGGACACAATGGCAATCTGCAGAGGTGGAAACTGAACCAGTAACCCTTTGGTTCATATTAATACAACACAAAAAATGTAATTTAAGATTATAATTCATGTTTATTAAGAAACAGGAAGTCCGACCCGCCACAATAAAAGCCTCTAATCACAGGATACAAATATATTATTATGATTCATTATTTTAAACAAAAACATGATTAAAGTTTCACAAATGAAAACGGCTGCACTGGCCACTTTATTAGGTACACTTTTCCAGCCAATCAGAGCAGCTCATCCTCGTTTACTTGTAATTAACGCTGAATAAACATGTAATAACCTTTGTGTAAATGACTCAGGACCGTTTTATTTATGAGACTTTCAAAATAAAACGCCTTCATTTCCTTTTGTAAAACGTTGCAGTTTTTCCTTCATGTTTCAGTTCGTCGTTTTTTGCAGTTTTTGTGTTTCGCTCGACGCTGGACGCGTCGCCGTGGTTACCTGAGGTTTCTGTCCTGACGCGTCACCGTGGTTACCTGAGGTTTCTGTCCTGACGCGTCGCCGTGGCGTCACTTCCTGCGGCAGCGGTAGCAGCAGGCGCGACACCGCGGCTCCTCTGGCTCCGCCTCCCTGACTTCGGGGGCGGGGCTGGCATAGGGGTTGCTGTTGCCGTTGACGACGGCCGGGTTGGCGATGACCGTGGAGCCGTCGGCATTTGACTGGAGCTTGGCCCGAGGGATGGTCACGCGACCGTACGGGTTTTCCAATGACACGTTAATGCTGGACATGGCGACCAATCAGAGGAGAGCGTCTGGAGACAAACCAATTGAAGAGCAGCGTCAGAGCGAGGGTCCAATCAGAGAGCAGTGTCAAGGCGAGGGTCCAATCAGAGAGCAGTGTCAAGGCGAGGGTCCAATCAGAGAGCAGCGTCAGAGCGAGGGTCCAATCAGAGTGAAACACTGTTAAAACAAAGTTTAATAAATTATTATTCATTAAACCAGATCTAAACCAGGACTAAACCAGGACTAAACCAGGACTAATCCAGGACTAATCCAGGACTAAACCAGGACTAAACCAGGACTAATCCAGGACTAAACCTTTGGACATTGAGTCTACAGATTTAGTCCAAGTGGCCAAATCACAGTTTTTCTTAACGGTGTCAAACTGCAGGTTTTATTCATAAACTCATGACTTTTCTGTGTCTCAACTGTCAAATGACTATTATTTTTCAGTGATAAAATCTCAAAAGGACGTTCTGTGTTCTCTGTTCTGTGTTCTCTGTTCTGTGTTCTCTGTTCTGTGTTCTCTGTTCTGTGTTCTCTGTTCTGTGTTCTGTGTTCTGTTCTGTGTTCTCTGTTCTGTGTTCTCTGTTCTGTGTTCTCTGTTCTGTGTTCTCTGTTCTGTGTTCTCTGTTCTGTGTTCTGTTCTCCGTTCTCGTGCAGAACTGCATCGACCTTTACGTTTTGAAAACGCGTCTTTTGCCCCTTGACTCGGTTCCAGCTCGTCATTTGAACAAAGTTTTTAATTCACTTGTGAATTTGTCTTTGACCAAAGTGTCTTAAAGCTGCAGGACGTTCTAAAGAAAACCCCGATCTCTCATGACAAACTTCAGGTCCACCTCAGAACTTCCTTTTATTTCAAACATTTGAGAACTGGCTGCAGCTGCAGCTTCACTGAAGCTTCAGTCGGGTTTAAACCCGAGCGCAGAAACGCCTCTTTTAAAGGTTTTTAATGATTTTATTCTGATTCTGGCCAAACTAAAACTGAAACAAAACTCTAATGGAAACAGAAAGGACCCTAACCCTAACTCCTAACCCCTCACCCTAACCCTCTAACCCTCTAACCCCCTAACCCCTAACCCTCTCCTAACCCCTCACCCTAACCCTCTAACCCTCTAACCCCCTAACCCCTAACTAACCCTAACTAACCCCTAACCCTAACCCTCTAACCCTCTAACCCCCTAACCCCCCTAACCCTAACCCTCTAACCCCTAACCCCTAACCCCCTAACCCTCTAACCCTCTAACCCTCTAACCCCTAACCCTAACCCTCTAACCCTCTAACCCCCTAACCCCTAACCCTCTAACCCTCTAACCCTAACCCCCTAACCCCCTAACCCCCCCTAACCCTCTAACCCTCCCTAACCCTCTAACCCCCTAACCCTCTAACCCTCTAACCCTCTAACCCTCTAACCCTCTAACCCTCTAACCCTAACCCTCTAACCCCTAACCCTAACCCTAACCCTCTAACCCTAACTCTAACCCTAACTAACCCTCTAACCCCCTAACCCTCTAACCCCTAACCCTAACCCTAACCCTCTAACCCCTAACCCTAACCCTCTAACCCCTAACTAACCCCTAACCCCTAACCCTCTAACCCTCTAACCCCTAACCCTCTAACCCTCTAACCCTACCCCTAACCCTAACCCTAACCCTCTAACCCCTCTAACCCCCTAACCCTCTAACCCTAACCCTAACCCTAACCCTAACCTAACCCTCTAACCCTAACCCTCTAACCCCCCCTAACCCCTAACCCTAACCCTCTAACCTCTAACCCCTAACCCTAACCCTAACCCTAACCCTAACCCTAACCCCTAACCCTAACCCCCTAACCCTCTAACCCCTAACCCTAACCCTCCTAACCCCCTAACCCTCTAACCTAACCCTCTAACCCTCTAACCCTCTAACCCCTAACCCCCTAACCCTAACCCCTAACCCTCTAACCCTAACCCTCCCCTAACCCCTAACCCCCTAACCCTCTAACCCTAACCCTAACCCTCTAACCCCTAACCTAACCCTAACTAACCCTCTAACCCTAACCCCCTAACCCTAACCCTCTAACCCTAACTAACCCTCTAACCCCTAACCCCCTAACCCCTAACCCCCTAACCCTCTAACCCCCTAACCCTCTAACCCTAACCTAACCCCCTAACCCTCTAACCTCTAACCCCCTAACCCTCTAACCCTAACCCTAACCCTAACCCTTAACCCCCTAACCCCTAACCCTCTAACCCCTCTAACCCCTAACCCTAACCCTCTAACCCTAACCCCCTAACCCCTAACCCCTAACCCTCTAACCCTCTAACCCCCTAACCCTAACCCTAACCCTCTAACCCTCTAACCCTCTAACCCTCCTAACCCTCTAACCCCTAACCCTCTAACCCTCTAACCCTCCCTAACCCTAACCCTAACCTAACCCTAACCCTAACCCTCTAACCCCCTAACCCCTAACCCTCTAACCACTAACCCCCCCTAACCCCCCTAACCCTCTAACCCTAACCCTAACTAACCCTCTAACCCTAACCCCTAACCCTCTAACCCTCCTAACCCTCTAACCCCCTAACCCTCTAACCCTAACTAACCCTCTAACCCTCTAACCCTAACCCTAACCCTAACCCTAACCCCCTAACCCTCTAACCCTCTAACCCCCTAACCCCCCCCTCTAACCCTCCTAACCCTAACCCTCTAACCCTAACCCTAACCCTAACCCTAACCCTAACTAACCCTCTAACCCTAACCCTAACCCCTAACCCTCTAACCCCTAACCCTAACCCTCTAACCCTCTAACCCTAACCCCTAACCCTAACCCTAACCCCTAACCAACCCTCCCCTAACCCTAACCCCTAACCCTAACCCTCTAACCCTCTAACCCCCTAACCCTAACCCTCTAACCCTAACCCCCTCTAACCCCTAACCCTAACCCTAACCCTCCCTAACCCTCTAACCCTAACTAACCCCTAACCCTAACCCTAACCCCTAACCCCTAACCCTCTAACCCTAACTAACCCTCTAACCCCTAACCCTCCCTAACCCTAACTAACCCTAACCCTAACCCTCTAACCCTCCCTAACCCTAACTAACCCTAACCCTAACCCCCTAACCCCTAACCCTCTAACCCTAACTAACCCTCTAACCCCCTAACCCTCTAACCCTCTAACCCTCTAACCACTAACCCCCTAACCCTCTAACCCTCTAACCCTCTAACCCTCTAACCCTCTAACCCCTAACCCCCTAACCCCTAACCAACCCCTAACCCTCTAACCCCTCTAACCCTCTAACCCTAACCCTAACCCTCTAACCCTCTAACCCTCCCCCTAACCCCCCCTAACCCCTAACCCTCTAACCCTAACTAACCCTCTAACCCTCTAACCCTAACCACCCTAACCCTAACCCCTAACCCTAACCCCTAACCCCTAACCCTCTAACCCTCTAACCCCCTAACCACTAACCCCCTAACCCCTAACCCCTAACCCTCTAACCCTAACCCTAACAGAAAGGACCTTCTGCGCTCAGGGTTCGTTCAGTCGAGGCTCAACTTTGGTGTGGCCCAAGGAAAAGCACTGGCTCCTGCATTATTTGAAAGACACAGTTTTATTTATCGACGACGATGAGGATGAAGACGACGAGTACGAAGACGGCGAGGACGAAGGCGACGATGACGAAGACGACGAGGACGAAGACGAACGAGACGAGGATGAAGACGACGAGGATGAAGACGACGAGGATGAAGACGACGAGGATGAAGACGACGACGACGATGAGACGACGAGGATGAAGACGACGACGAGGATGAAGACGAGGAGGATGAAGACGACGAGGATGAAGACG